AAATTGTATAAAACTATTCAGGAGACGTACAAGGGGAGATGAATGCACATTTTTGATACATTTATATAAAAAAGATTATATATTATATTTCAAGCACTTGTGTGAATATATGGAAAGAATTAACATCAAATTTTTCAATTTTTTGGATATGTGCAATTATTTCTCTGTACCAGGGATTATTTATCTTAATGGTTGAAATCTCAACTAAGATAGAGTTTTCAATAAAGCCAACACCCTTAGATGCTAGTGCTTTAAGACTTTAGTCTTGGAATTTATTCCCTAGCTAAATTTATAATAATAATAATAATAATAATAATAATATGATATATTTATTATATTCGGAATAATATTCTAAACTGAGATTTCCATATAAATGCCTATAAGGACTTGCGATCGATCAAACTGTACTTATACCGATTGATTCAGAATCACTTTCTGATTTATTTGAAGCGTGTCTGTCCCTCTCTCAACAGTTTAAAACGTATCCGTAACGTTTTTCACAAATTTTTCAACCCTTTTCTTTTATTTTATTATTAATTGATATGAATTAATTTAAAAATCTTTTTATGCAAAAAATTACTAATAGCAATGTATAAGATTTTTATTCCAAAATTGTAAATGTCCAAAACTGTTCTTTTTTTCAAATTTTAAAGGATATGCTTTATGGTTGTGGCTACAACAACATGAAAGAAATCAGAAAGACGGAAGAATACCGAAAAGTACTCTTCTTCGGTATACGTAGCCTGCTGACAAGTTTTAACGTGTTGATCAGCGCCATTCCCATGACCAGCTATAATGGATATTCAAACGAACTACACAAATGTTTAATATCGCAGAGGAAATCGGACTGGACGTGAAAGCAGTAGTCTGCGACAGGAGCAGCGCAAACCTGCACACACTGATAAAGTTCAACAACGGAATTTATAAACGAAAGCGAGCGGACGGTACCGTTTATACGATATACCATCTGGTCGACTATATACATCTGATGTATGGAATTTACTATCTATGACAAGGAACAAGGAACTGTTCAACACTTCCGTCTTCACCAAGGCACATGCGGGAAAACTTAGCACCTCAAATCACTTAAAGAGAAGAGGTGAATGCTTGATCAATACTGCTGCTTCATCGCTCAAAGAATGTTTGCAGTTATTAACTCCCGCAACAGTGGCAAACTTGGACGCCGCTGCGAAGCGCAAAATTATTCATGGAACAAAAGAAATGCGAACATATGAAGCTATCGCTGCTGTGACTAAATTGTGCACAGTCATGCACAGTGGCAAGATAAGCAGCGCCGAATGGGAAGAACAGAAAGCGGTGCTAGTGGAAGTGATTTAAAAGATAAACTCCAGACGACCGAATTGACGCCGCCTTGCAAACCATCCACCACTTCATGGAAGTAATGGATGGTCTGCTGGAGGCTTACCCTGGCATAACTATCCACGCCTACAGGGTAAGCCAAGACCTTTTGGAGAGATTTTTCTGCAAGATGGCGCCAAGCAAGATAAAACGAACAGGAAAGGTGGAAGATATAATAAAGCTGGGCACCCGCCTAATGAAACAACTCGAATTTTGGAGAGGCGGATCCAGAACTGGTGGCGGTTATGATCTAATCAATAAACTTGATTACTGACTTGACATTATATAGGTACTATATAGATATATTATAGTTTTAAATTTAGTTACAATGGTGTATGCCTACTGGGGAGCCAGCCATTTAAAACAATTGGCAACGCGCCTATCACGGTACCCCAAGGGTGGTGCGGAAAACCCTGTCGCTGCGGATTTTTTAGGTATGCTTGTCACTTCAACATTGGCTTCTAAAGCGTCTGCAACTACTGCAATTGTTTGATTGTTTCCACACCGACAGTGGTGGTCTCCTTCGAGTTATGTTCACTTTCACTTTCAGACCTGATCGTACTCTTCCAATTAGAGTGATTATGGAGTTATCCCTTTGATGCCGTGAAAGCAGAACGTAGATCTACAAGCAAATATAGATCATTTACCTTTTTTCACTTTTTGATGATATTGAGCGTTTAACATTTTCCAGTTAATTGCGAAATCAAAAGAGCTAAGAAATAGTGTATAAAACATAATAAAATAGATCTAAAGTGAATGATAACGAAACGGCATTGGATATATGGGCTCTAGGTTGCATTCTAGGAGAATTGTTATCGCTTAAGCCCTTATTGCCCGGCAACATAGAACTTGAACTGATTGTTGGCCTTTTAGGGACTCACTCAGAAGCCAGATTTTCCAAAAATGCTAGCCATACAAAATTTCACTCTTAAACAACAGCTCTATAATAATCTAAAACCAAAGTTTCAATATCTCTCAGCGGCAGGTTTAAGATTTTTAAATTTTCTCTTTAGGTTACAGAGGGCATGGCCACCTTGGAATTGCTATTAACCAAAATACCCATTAAAACGGAAAAGCAGGCATTGAAAATTCTCGATATATGTTCTAAAAAGCAATTTATTAATGCTGAAGAGGAAATCTGCGAAGTACAAGCAAACAAATCTTTCACCGAAGAACGTTATGGTAATACTTTTGAATGGACGATAAGATCTAGGGATACTTTGTATGTTACTTCTATCGCCGACTACCTACTAAAGATGTATTGGATAGCGATGGCTTTGAAAAAATGGTATGTGTTAAGGGCGATCAATACATTAACGATATGAGCCAAACAGAAGGTCATACAGTCCAACTGATAGCTGGTAATCATCTGAGGTAGAGTTACGACGTTACTGGCGGTTGTGCAGTAAATGTGAAATTTTAACACCTCCTCGTTCATGGCATTGTGAAAGTTGTGATACTTGCATTTTAAAACGGGATCATCATTGCGTTTTTACCGGTTGTACATACATTCGCGGCAACTAAGTAGTCCAAGCAAAACTGAAACCTACATAGTTTTTCAGAATCATATAAAGAAAGATTGAATGTTGAAGACAGATGTCTAGATCTATACTAAACATTATAAGAGTTCATAAGCTTAGGCCAGGGGTGAGAGAGAGAGAGAGAGAGAGAGAGAGAGAGAGAGAGAGAGAATGGGAAATAGAGAGTAAGCCTTCTACTATACTACAGGTCAGCAAAACAAATTTTTCCAAAAGATGTCTCGAGACTCCAAGAGGAAAACATGTGTGTGACACCTAATGTTTCAGGTAAAAATAATAGGCAAAGCCTTGCCGTCGAAAACATTCACTCAATAACTCGAGAGAATGCTGAAAATTTCTCTAGAAAATCAAAAACAGAAACTATAAACTTATTTAAGCTAAGGCCGGTTATCTAATCACATCATCTGGCAGAAGAGGTCTTCGGACTGATTCTCATAGCGAAGTTGTGAAACCCAGCAGAATAATAATACGAAATCGATTTCAACAATCATGAAATGTCTGAATTAGCTTCGATTTCAATTGAGTGAATAAAGGGCAAGAACAAAAAATTTTCGGCGTAGCTTATGTGATGAACCTAAATCAATGACGACGTTTGTATCTTTCACACCCTACACCACCTGTGCTACGAGAGTATAGTAAGTTTGCGCGTTTGTATAGGCAAAAAACAAAACGTCTCCGTCTGTCGGTCTGTCTGTCTTGGATTCTTGTGTTCAACCTACAAGCCGTAACTTTTCATTCGGGTAAACTGACATGTTTTAGCTCAAACAGGAGCGCAATTGAAAATGGGTCGAATCGGACCATTACTTGTTATATAAAAGTGTATAATGAAAAGTCGTTGGATAAGTAACTGTAGCGTAATGTGAGTTGCTTTAGGCGGACCACTATAGTTCTGCCACTTGCAGTGACTAATCTTAGTTCATTTTGCATACCGCATCTTATCGTATCAATCGTACTTCCCATGCTTTTCAAATTCATTTTTATGCAACTTGGGACTACTTTGTAAAAGTTAAGGGTAACTGTCGTCACTTTTGCTTCACAACTAAGGAAACATCAATGGCACAGTATGGAAAGACTTATGTCTTATGCTGCCAACGAAACAATCGATTTATTGGTGATTGAATAGCGAGAAAATTTTTTGATAAGCATCTTGCAAGATCATGCTACCTACTATCCCTATATTATGTTTTTTATAAAGTCGTTGAGTTTTGCTAATAAAGCAGTAAGAAATCCTTTGTAGTTTCAGAGGTCAACATGACTTGTCTCATTAATGAAATAGGTCTGCATTTACTTGAAAAAATTATTCAAAATTCAATCTCTCGACTACGATGATTGAAACATTTGTGTAATTTAGCTATGTCGGAAAATATTTTTAAATCATGTTCGAAATGCCAAAAAGTTGTCTTTGAAATATTATGTGTAGAATCAACTCCTTATGAGGTTCTTCCAAGGGCCACTGCTTTATCTGCGAGCATTTCTCAAACTGAGACTTCTTCATGTAAAGCCACATTCTTTAAACTTTGCATAATAACCAGAGTAAGAGTTACCCTCTATACACAATGTAGTTTTTAGAGGCCTTGAATATGTCGATTACTGTACAAAAGAAGCTAAACGCAGTAAGCGTTAGTTTGTCTAGTTAGAACGGGAGAAAGTGCTATTGAATGGTGAGCGATATTGGAAAAGCAAAAGTCTTAAATCAAACAACACAAGCCATCGACACCGCGCTCCTCCAATTTTGAAGGACAAGCGCAATACAGTGTAGTATAAGTTTCTCCCCCAATAGAAACCATCAGCAGGGCTTACTGAACATACTAAAGCTTTAAGGCCTTTGGTTGGAAAAACATTTAATCCCGGGCTAACTTTCATGTGAACAATAGTGAAGATTTTCGAACCTGGCCTATGAAGAGTGAAAAGAGGAGAATAAATTTTGAAACAAAGTTTAGAAAATTATACTGCTGTTATTCAGGTCACAACTTTCCGAGAAATAGCGAAACCCTAAATACTTTATGCCGAATCAAGAACACATACGTACGATCGATATTGTTAAGTCTAACGCCCGACTAGCCTATGTAATGTAATCACTGGGAAAGCAGAAAAAAGCTTTTTTAACGGAGTTTTACATAATTTACGAAGTAGGGTTTACGACGGGCAACAGTACGACGACAGCTTAAAATAACTATTTAAATATTCCTGACAGTTCTCCGACTTCTTTTAAACAATATTTGTGTTTATCGTCCGGCATTGTAATCCTTGGCACGGAATAACGACAAAAATACATAGAAATTTAGTTGGTTCTTTATATGAGTGTTTAACACAAGAAGGGAGGGGCCTAATGCCGATTCTACTATTAAAGAGACCAGCAGATGGCCTTAGTTAGTTAGTGTCAAGATATAACAGAATATATGGAATATATTATGAAAGCCTAATATATTTTAAACAATTTAACTAAAAGGATATACGCACCTTGCTTGAGTTGGAACGGTAAGCCTTTAATTGACGTTCCGCCAATTTTGGATATTAATCAGACATTAAAAATTCTAATTCACTCATGAATATCGAAAAAAGGCTGCTTAAAGGGGTCAAACAAATACGCGGTGGTGTATAATTGACCCGCACCGCAGCCTGCCCATAACATACGCACTTCCGATGTCTAAAGAAGTTTTAAAACACTCGTTTGACTTTAGTTTCCACCTGGAAAAGGACCCCTTTTAATTTAGAAGCTATTATAAGTACATTTTTTATTTTCATAAGAAGACTTTTCTGCGAAAGAACGGAACCTTTTCCCTCGAGGGGTCGAGGGGTATCTATTGATACATTCATCATTGAAAGAAATAAAAATGACGCACGTAATATACGTAGGAAGGATGTTTGAAATATTGCATATCAAATCTCGTAAGTCTAACTATTGCTCACCCTGAATTTTAATGCGGTTCTGAAAATCACATCTGCAGCAGTTTGTAAGCTCAAATTTTAATAGCTGCTTGGAGATGTTTCTTTATGCGAATTGAAAAGGTTTTCAAATAACTTGCTTTAACCTTCAAATGTAAAAATATCATCCAGCTTCAGGTCTCTATCGCAAATTTTTCCTAAAGCAGTTCCGGTTCTTACCCCCAGTAGAAGTTCAAATTTTTATTATGTATAGCAAGACAAACTTTTCCATTTTATTATATTATATAATTTTAAGCTTAAAGCAGCCACATTTTCGGAATTCCTTCCAATTACATGCCGAGTGAATTGTAAACGGATTGTTCCTACAAGTAAATGGCCTTGATCTACATTTGTTCTTTGGCAAACTTTATTTCGACCGTCTCTTGTATCTATCTATATATGTATATAATATACTTTTACTACTACTTTTAACATCAGAACTTTTCAACATTGTATATACCTCGATAAGGAGATGCTCGTTTTATCGTTCTGCATTTGACCGCAGACTTCCTTGTATATCTACTTATACGCAAGCATTGTAAACGTTTTAGTATTTACTCAACACGTTAATTTGTGCTTAACACAAAAATATATACGTAGATATACATTAAGAGAGTGTGTGTGTGTGCCGCCCTGTATATATTAGACTAAGGAAAAAGTTCGTGGTGTTTAACCTAATAAAAGGCATTCAGTTCGTGTAACTTTGATAACATTTGCAATAATAGACCTTAACTCAGGGCAAAGCGTTTGCGTTGTGAGACTAAGGCGAAAGTCTGAAAAAATTCGGTATATATTACAAGATGCCTTCGAACAGAGCGATAACAATTGGCAGCCTTGAAATAAATAGGAGATAAAATTGTACATATGGAACGGGATTTGGCGGGACTTGAAAGAAATCGTACATTACAAACTGTTCCAAATTGGCGAGACCATTGATTCCATTCTCCATTATCAATAAACTAAAGCGAACGAAACGCGTGAGTGGACTAAAGGGTGCAAAATCGGACAATAGGAGAGACATCTTCTTTCGTCACGAGATTGGCAAGTCCCAGCCATCTTCAATGGATTGCCAAAAATTGATATAAGGAACGAACCTTAGCCCTCTGCAGAACTTCCTTAGTGTTGCTAAAGAGCTTTCACAAAATGACAATCACTTTTCACCAAGGAATCCCATAATTTCGAATTATTTGATCCGATAAATTCGAAAAAGGTTTGATCCCCAATCAAAATAGTAAATGTGTGCACATGTGCCACGGACTTTTTCTTTAATCTATTACACACATTAAGAGATTTTACTTACGTGTACCATCGAAACGTGTGGCAATAGTATCCAAAAATGTATTCTGAGGTGCGAGAAGCCCTTTGCGAGCTGGCATTGGATTGGATGGCCGCCTGTATAATTTCTTTTTACGATATGAATCTGTAAAGCATATAAAGCATTTAATACGCTATTAAAAATACATGCACATATACCTAAATTTACAGATACTTGAGAAAATGCTTTTTTAAAGCACACAACGATGCTAAAATAGTAAATAATAGGATTTCAATGGCAAAAGAGAACGTGAAGCATATCTGTTGCTGTTGTATATATTTGTTGTGCCATTACTGGAATTTTTATAGCTATCACAACGATTGAATTGTTCACTTACCCTAAGATACCCTACCTTCAGCTTGCTTCGATTAAAACGCATATCTTTGCGGTCGTCTACTCATATCTTTAATTTACTATATATATAGCTGAAGTAGAGACGAAAAATTGGATATAAAATGACATTTCGGAAAAACAAACTCTTGACATCGAATCGACGAAAATTTGAATTTTCGAAAATTTTTAATTTAACAGTGAAAACTATTGAAAAAATGCTATTTAAAAAGTCTATTCAAATGTAACGTAACGTAAATGCCGCCGCCAAAGGTTTTTAGTTAAAGACACTGTAAGGACGTGTAAAGCTAATACGCTAACATACCTATAAAATAATTTGTTCACAATTGGTGTTTTTCTTCTTCTTTTTTTTTGACAAAAACAGCAACAAATTTCAGGTGGTATATTCAATTATTTCCCGAATAAAAGTTGATGTATAGTGGTTGTAATTGAGAAAACTCGTAACAAACCAAAAAAAATTAACGGCGAAAACAGGGAAAATACTACGGTGTCAAAGCATTAAATACCCTACATCGTACAGGTGCCGTTATTCATACAACGACTTAGTAAAATATGTCCTTATATGGGAAGTGATCGAAGATAAGGACTCGTCTGACCCGATTTGGGTACCGTTTTCAATACTGGCACAAAACCAAAACAAACTTCATCAAAATATTTCAAAAACTGCGATCTAAAGGTTGAACAAAGAGAAACAAGATGGACCAGCATGCAAATTGACAGATTGATTCTGAGGGTGATTCTGAATAGATCGATATGCTGATATGTGCATCCGCAGCCAAACTTAATGCACCCTTGTACCACAAGTGGTGGATATAGATAGTCATGTTAGCCGTTGACGCAGCCGTTAGCCGTTAAATTCGCTTTCTATATATGTTGAAATCCAAACGTTCTTACCACTGTATAAAAAAGCTTCGACACAAAGACCTTAATCCCGTTTAGGTATCTAGTGTCGTTCAATCGAACATAGATTCGATTAGTTATCGTCTTTTTCAAAAAGAGTGTGTGTAACTAAGAAAAAAGAAAATTTGAGCTAAATGATGGCGTAAAAGGAAATTCGAACATCGATCTAATCAAAAATATAATTTTTAAATGAAATAAACCTCGGTGCACCACTACGTCCACGATTATTCGTATAATGACTTTTGCACAATTTCGTTGCCGGTGAAGGAAATTTCACCAAAATATTTCAAAAATTCCGCCCTGTAGATTGAATACAGGGAAATAGGATGGACAGACAAGCTTAGATTACTTTCTAAGCCGATTACCATAGAAGCATAACAATGTTAAATAAGTAAGAAAATATTCGTCGCAAACCGCATATAATTCATCCCTTGGTTATGTGTGACATGGTGAGCGCAACAAGTAATACAAGTACAATTACACGCGTATCTATGTAAACATTTTCTTACTTTTTGCACATATGTTTACATTATATATATATCCAAGTAAATGTCTTACTTGCTGTTTTTTTCTTTTTCTTTTTTCTGGTTTTTTATATATTCTTTTTTTGTTTCTTTCTTGCTTTCTTTCTGCCCTCGACTATAGATTGCTATTAGCATTTTGACACTGAGCCGACCATAAAATTTAATGCGGTTTGTGGTTAACTAAATAAAAAGCAATAATTTTATTTAAGACTATTTTAGAGGACTTTACCTATAATGAACATATTTAACTGTAAATAGTCTTAAATTGTATTTGAATTTTTTTTTTTTTTTTTTCTGCTTTAAATAAATAAATTTCAATGAAGTTCACCATCCGCTATAACACCAAAAATTATCTTTTAACTATTATCGCACTTTTCCCACTAAAAGGTGATAATAAAATATTTATTAAATAAAATCGATGAAGGTAGTATATCTTGATTATGTGTATCCATTACAATACATTTACCGTAAATATGTAATTTAGTTAAGTGTACAAGTTCGAGTTCGAGTATTTACTATGGTATTATAAAAGCGTTTATATAGAACAAAGAGTAAAAGGGAAAGGGACAGGCATAGGCGAAAATGTGATGTTCTTAGAAAATTTCGAATTTATTAATGTCAAACATATATACATATATATATATATATACATATAAATATATATATATATATTTTTACAAGACATGTATATATTTTTTATGAAGACTTACTTTAAGGGTAAAAAGATGAATTATCAACTAAAATATATATTTGTTGAAAATCATTCTCGTCATCGTATATCATTAACCGGTAATTATGAACTGTAAATATTTTATGATTGGAAGCAAGCATATGGTTGACCCTTGACAGTTGCACAGAGCACGTCTAGTACATAATCAATAGTAAACTATTTTGCGATAAGTACAAGTATTAATTTCGCATGTCTCAAGTTTTACACGTCTACTTATGGGAGATGCCAATAACAACGAATATATCGCACATCTTTGTGTTGCATGTGCTATAATTAGGATATTTTGAATAAGTAATAATACAAATGCAGAGCTAATTAGGGTAAGACTAATTGTACTAATGGTCATATTTTCCTAAGTCCATCAGTCACTTATAGGAAAACTTCCAGTGTTATTTTCAGCTGTTGCTAAATATGGAAAGCTAACTTACAGCTCGGTGGGGGTCTGTCTCTGGTACATGAAAACAAGGTAACGGTCGGGAAGGGCTTTTAAGCAACGGATTTGGAGCAGAAAGAGTGGCATTTATATACGTTTGATTTGAAAGTGAACATTAAATATGCAACTGCGGGAAAGATCGCCTTAGCTAGAATGTTTCAAAAACGGTCCCTACGATAAAAGAAATAATATTTTTTTGACATATGCCTTATCGAAGCTAGGATATCCATAACAGAATAGATAATGTTTACTTCTTATATAAAAGGGTCAAATGGTACATGAACTCCAAGGATATATTCAAACACCTTAGAAGCGCATTAGAAGGTAAACAAAAACGACAATTAATGAAAAACAAAATTGAAAGGTTTGTCATTGTATCTCACACACTTTTGTGCAACAGCTCTGCTCAAAACCGCATTCGGAAACCAAAGTATATATATTAATATATACTTGCTCTCCTCAAACGAAAAACAGTATTCAATAGCTTTCTTATAAAGTTGGTTGGAAAGCTAAGACTACTTTTTCCTATACCGTCGTCGTCGTCGTCGTAGTGGCGTTTGCGAAGATAAGGCGTGTTTTGTAACAGCTCTTGTCACAACAAATACGAGGCATCTTTTATATACACAAATCAGTGGAGTTTTCAAAACAGGCACTCACTGATTTTCCCCTCACTGTCCTCCACTGTACCACCTAAGATATCTAAGGCCATAGAACGACTAAAGATGTACCTACAGATCGATGCAGAATCATTTTCTGAATTTAGTTAAACTTGTCTGTCCCTTCGTCCGTTATTTTTGTGATATTTTTTGAAGAAGTTGCTATGCTGATATATTAATATTTTGGCTCTCACTCACCAAGCTACTACTAAGTCTTATTTTGAAAAAGTTGTAATATGAAAAAAAAATTGCAACTTTTATATAATTCCTTGAGGGAAATCGTTAACTAATGGTATGTCGGCGACTAATGATTGATGCAAAATACTCGTACCTCAGTGGCAAACTCTTCCAGAAAAAGTAACCTCCAAAAGGTTAAATTTTTAATATTTGATAATAAAAATTGGTCCGTAACAGCATTTTGGCACAGGTATTAAATCTACGAAATCCGGATCGCAGAGTTCTATTATGTTCACCTCACCAAATGAAAAGAAAAATCCTTAACTTATAGCTCGTCCACTATACCACGTCAGCTGATGTTTTTAGCACACTGCACTTTTATGGAAAGTGTCCTGCAAATGAACAGCAAACAAGTGTGTAAGGTTTCGCTCGGTTTTTATCAAAAGAATCTTATTTAGAAGTTTCACAGGAAATATGGAACGCATATGCGGTTCACGTGATTTGTTATCCATCCCATGTTGATAATCTGATCAAGATTCATATTTTCTTATTTATCAATCACTTAGTAGCCGCGAATCGTCGATACACCGCCCCCGGCTACATCATCTATTGCTTAAGTAGAAAAGTTCGAAGACATAGATCTTAACATTCAAAATAAATGCGTATGTGCTTTGATCTCTATTGCTTGGTTTGTAGCTAACGCTAGGGCAACTAGGCAATGTTTGCTTGTCATCTTATGGGCAAAATGCACAAGTCAAGTTCAGGCGATTAATGCAATTAACAATAGATGACAAAGAGGAGTTGATGTGTAACGACATCATGGATTTTCCCAATTTTTTGATTTTTAAATTGATGCTGGTTTGAAATATTTACTGCAGCACTGTCTTGGTACTTAAATTGATTCATTTTGCTATATACATATATACATATATACATATATATATTTTTTTTTTTTTCTTTTTTTTTTTTTTCTTGTGTTTCAAGGCAAACTACTCTTGAACTTGACTCGAGGTATACGGATGAAAGAATTTCGATTCGTTGCTTGATGAAAGTATTTTTAAACGCATGAATGGCCCGTAGATGTACTTACACATGCATGAAATGTGTTTGTCAACTTCTGGAAAATGGAAAATTTATATTTTTTAATTATAACTTTTTTATTACATAGCTACAAATATATTTAATTACAATTTATTACGAGTTCAAGTGCCCAAAACGAAATCGTGTACACAAGCTTTGAATTGAAATAAATGGTCATAAACTATAACGTAATGCAGACTAAATGCTGTGCTAAACGTACGACATGCGAATCGTATCTCAGCATATGCTTGAAT